AGTTCTGCGCAGATGCTCTTCTACAGAGCTCCATCCTTGGCCTGAACATCTAGCTTTCATATTTGTCCTCAATTCCTTTTTTCTATATTCCTGAGATGCTTGCTAATGGGTGGTTATATTTTTTTAACTATCAGACATGTGACTCAACATTTTTTTGAGACAAGATTTCATTGTGTAACTCAAGCTAGCTTCAACCTCACAGTTGAATGCTAAATGCTGGGATTGCAGGCATGAGCCACAAAGCCAGACTACCATTTCTAATTTCTTTCCATTTCTGCTTGTTTAGCTTCTTGCTCTGTTTTACAGAAGACCCTGGAATACTCACCCAGCAGATGCATTAGCGCAGTTTATTCTGCTGTTCTGACCCCTGTCAGTCTGCTATGGTAATGAGATTCATAGAGATAATGAATCCTTAATTAGTGGGTATTATGACACCAGTTTTTATGTTTTTAAATCTTTGTCCTATGAACTCTGTTTAAGTTGACTTTCTTGTGTGACTATTTCCCTCCTATATTAGGTCTAGGTGATAGGCTGATCTTTACAAATGTAATCTCTCATCAAACTATGAATGAATGACCTTTGGGGCTTTGCCTCAACCTGTCTTAGAAATGAGTGGGAGAGATAGCACGTGCCTTCATTTTAGTGAGTTGGTGTGATATAACGTTGCTCGAGGATGTCTGCTTTCCCTTGAGGTTGCCAGGCACCTTCAAACACCACTGTGGCACCACAGCTCCAGCTGACACACTGATACAGTCTTGGCACAAAGGCCTGGGCTACTCCCTGTCTGACACATTGCAGGTCTCCTGCTGTAGTCCTGAAACAGGCCACCACAATGGTTGGTTGCCTAACCTCAAAGTCTTTTCTCTCCTAAGTGTTCCCAAAGTCTGCACTCTCCTGAGTGTTCCGTCTCTGCACTTGAGGAACATTGGTACTCTAAGCTGAGATTCTACTCCCTTACCCCAAACCTTTCATTAAGTAAGTTCTGAGCTCTCAGAAGTCAAACATGTAAAATAAACTAATGGAAATCAAGGCCTCCTTGTATCCTTGACTTTTGCTTAGAAAGACTCACAGTGTAGTGGTTCTCAACTGTGTAACAGACAGACAGACAGACAACCTGGTTCAAATCTAGATTCAACCATCTGCTTCCGTGAATGATCTTGGTCACATTATTGAATCTCTATACCTCAGTTTTTCACTAGTTCAATGTGAATAAGAGTGACCTAGATCTCAGAATGAATGGGATGATAATTGAATAGAATGGAAGTCACCAACACTGCCACGTGAGTAGCACAAGAAGCATTAGATATATTACACTCCTAATTCATAGACTTTGTGGCTTTACTCTTATTCTGAAATTTGAAGCTCATCCCATGCATGGATCCAACATTTTAAATAAATGAGTGGGAATGGGAAGATTTGTGTAAGCTGATAAATTTAGGGATAGTAAAAATTCTAAGTAAGGAGAGGGTTTTTTTTTCTTGTGATTGTAAATTGAAGATATATATTTTACTGGATCAATAATTCCTTGGCTGGATTTTTTAATCTTTTGCTGCATTAGAATCCATTCAAACAGCATGTTTCATTTTAACGTTCATGATGCTTATAGCATGGTGTCAGGTGTTGGAATTAGACATACTCATACAGATGCGAAAATATGAGAATAATTTTCTATTAGTTTGTACATAAAAGTCAACTTGGCTGTGAAAAGTTTTAAGCATGTATTTCTCCTTCAAAACTATAGACTCGATTTTATAGTTCTCTAAAAATAAAGCACAAAATAAATGCTCTATAATATGGATGTTGTCAGAAAGAAATTGAATGGGAAAAGTGGGCTGGGTGTGAGCAAAATTATATACATGTGTGAAGTTCTCAAAGATAAACTAAAAAATACATTTAGGCCCATGTGATTATTGTCCTTCATACATAAACTATTTTGGTCACTATTTTCATCTGATATATTTCTCAAACTTATTTGTAAAGTTCGTTGGCATGTCTATTTTTCATGAACATTGAAAGTCTTGAGTTTGCTTCTTATGGTAAAAGAAGTATCTGTCTATCTCTGTTTCTCTATATCTCTTTGTCTCTCTCTAATCTCTGTCTCTCTATGTTTGTTTCTATGTCTCTCTGTGACTATCTCCATTTCTACCATTGCCTCTGTCTCTCTCTGTGTGTCTGTCTCTCTGTTTCTCTCTGTCTCTGTCTCCCTCTTTTTTCTCTCTTTATTGCACTCTCTCTGTCTCTCTATCTCTCTCTGCATCTTCTCTCTCTCTCTCTTTCTCTCTCTCTCTCTCTCTCTCTCTGTGTGTGTGTGTGTGTGTGTGTGTGTGTATCAAAGGACAACCTCAAGTGTTGGGATGTTGACCTCTCTTCCATGAATTGAGAGTGGGTCTTTTGTTGTTTCTCACTGCCCTGAGAGCTTCCAGAAACTCTCCTCAATTTCCTGCTTCGCAGTAGAAGCATTGGACTCCAGGGCCAACTGCTGTGTGCCCAACTCTCCATGTATTCTGGGCGTCTTCATGCTTGCATGACAAGTGTTTTCCCCATGGTGCCATCTCCCCAACCCTCGTTCTCTTTTCATTTCTACAACTCCCACTCTTTCTCATAAATTCTAAGAGAAATCATCTTATTGTCATATTTCTCTAATTATATATTCTGGTGTGTTATTATCTTTGCTTCTTAACTATCTTTAAAATCTATTTAGTCTCATTTGTATTGCTCTGGCAGTTTACTATCTCGGGACAGTTTATCTTCATGGGTTCTCTTATATTTGGACTGACATTCAACTACAGATCTAAGAAATCCACTGAGCCAGCTGCACATCTTCCCACTCTGCTGCATAGGGTGAAACAGCCTTGAGGTAATGAGAGAGTGATTTTTTTTTTTAAGTACAAAAGAAGTAAACAGCAACTACATGAAGCAACACATTCCAGTTTGCCCCAACTCAGGAGGAAAATTTGGGGAGATGTTTGATGGAGAAAGATGTATTAGACACAATAGGAGTCATAAAGAGGAGACAGATCAAAATAAGATCATGGGGAGTCTGAAGGAGCAGCAAAGGGACTGTTGACGACTCTGTATCCAGAGTCTTCTTACCAAACACTGTGATCACCAGACAGCAGGCCATTTGTTTTGAAGCTGCAACACCCCACTTGTTCCTCCTGTCAATACTGCTGGATGGAAGGAGTTGTGCACAGGACAGTGGACGTGCTGATGCTCGTGACCATGATAATCTATTGGTTTCCTAGCCATTACTCAGCCCACTGAGCTGAGCAGTCTTTCTGCCTCTGGAGAGTAAATCTTGCCAAATCTTTCCTGAGCCTGGAGTGGACCTGGGTTTGGTCCCTGACCTCCACGTGTTAGCTAGCAAGCATTTGTAGCTCCAGTTCCAAAGGATCCAATACTCTTATATGATCTCCATGAGCACTGCACATACATGGCACAGACATACCTATAGACAATATGCCCACAAACATAAAATAAAAAATAATAAATGAATTCTTAAAAAGAGTGAACTTTTTCTTCCTCAAATTGCCTACCGTTTCAAGTTGTTTTTGCTGCATTGATAAACTTAAAAGATGAAAAAAGCTGTGTGAAGAATGCAAGGAGCACTTAGGGAGGGATCCAGCACTTCAGTTGAATATGTAAGAGTGGAGGGTCCTGCTGGGTATAAGTGGAAGAAGAGAACCTTGACCACATGAAGGCTGGATGCCCCAGGGGGTGGGAATTTTGAGGGTGGGGAGGTGGGAGTGGGGGGGTAGATAGAGGTTACATCCACAGAGAAGAAGGAGGAGGGGTGAGGGGATTGGGGGTTCCTGGGTGGGTGGGGGATGGGGTAAGGGGACAACATAGGAAATGTAAATAAAACATTCAATAAAAATTAAAAAAAGAAAAAGAATGCAAGGATTGTCTCTCATAACAGAAAGAAGTCACTAAGAAGAGAGGAGGGAAGGAAGGAAGGAAGGAAGGAAGGAAGGAAGGAAGGAAGGAAGGAAGGAAGGAAGGAAGTCGGTCAACATTAGATCAGGCAGAATGAATCCGTTTCCTTCAAAACCTGCTTCAGCCACACTTCCCTGTACAATGGCAGCTGAAAGGAGGACAGTCACTATTCAGGGCAGGAAAGTTGGACCAGTACCAAGAAGTATACTTGTGAGAGAAGAGTCTCACTGGTTCTCCATTTCAGACTAACAGGGTAAAGCAAAGGTCATGAACTCTGAGTACCATTTCAGATGCAAAGCTGGGGCCCCAAGAACCTGTATTCATTTTTTAGTAGCCTGGTAGTAGTCCTTTAGTAGTCTACTTGGCTAGTAGTCAAGTAGAGCTTGATGTAAAACCAACAATTTTTCTGAAAAGAATTTTCACATACTCTGTGTCCAGGCAAGGACTGTCCTTAGTGTGTGGCCTCTGTCTAACCTTCAGAGAATTAGATCTCTGAAGGTTAAACAAGATAGAGAAGAGGGTATCCAAGACATCTACATCATGTCTACCATCCTAGTGATAAAGAGCAACTAGCTATAGACAGATATTCTCTGAGGAAAACAAAGAGACAGAGGGGAGTTTGTGGCAATGATGCCTAAGAGGCATGACTATAAAGTTCGATATGGAAAATTGAGAAAGACCAGACCTTTAGAAGAGACTTGCTACCTTCTTGGTCAGGGTCAGACACATGACAGAAATATCATTGTCTTGTGCAAAATGAGTATTGGCTGGGACATGTACATATCCTTGAGCCATCACTTAAGTAAGTCCCCACCTCCTATCTTCTCTGGATTGAAAAGATATCACAGGCCATCTCCATGAAGCACAACACATACGAAAAGGGGGCCAAGAGTCTTACCTACAGGATATCTGTGAATATAAGAACCCTAGAAACAGAACCAAGTTTTCCGAAGCACATTTAACCACATTTTGAGTTTTGAATCTCTCAGAATGGTCAAGGACTAACTTACAGTATTTTTTCATAAAGAGGGAGGTAACTTAAACAAAATCAATACCAGTCTCCATTGTGTTGACCTCCAAATCATAGAAGGTGAATTTATATGCTTGAAAGTTTAGATCAGTAAAGATTAGGGAGGGAGCGAGGCTACTTCATTAACAAGTGGTGAGATCTGGCTTCTGGTGATAGAGGTTATCAGAACAAAACTTAAGGGAGGCTTGCAGGATTCTGTGCACAACTGTAGCAGCAAGTAGTCAGCTTCAGGCACTCAGCTAAACACAAGTGCCCAGGTTTTACAAGGGGAAAACTATATTGCCATTCACCTCAACCCCTCAAAAGCCAGAGTAGATTCAAGGTGAATAGACTCTGCCACAGAAAAGTAGACTCTGAGTTGGGTTGTGTCGGATGAAAAAGAGGAAAGGGTGGTTGGCATTAAACTCCACCCAGGATGGAAGGGCCTTCTCTGCAGCCACCACCCCACTGGCTGCAGCTGCCTGGGTACCCATCTCATCCACTTCCACAAAGGTCTTGTGGACAATTTTGGACAAATGCAGATCGGGACTCCTAGAGATTCCAGTAAGGTCAGCCTTCGTTTCATCAAAGACATCCTTAATGCCCATGTCTTGTAGAACTGACTTGAGATCGTAGCTATCTTCCATGATGAACTGGGGAAAGGAAATGGCTACGGGTTTTTCCGACATATTTTCTGAGCTACTCCAGGCGAGTAATTTTTCATGGTTTATTTTCTTTTCAAGCTGTAAGAAAAAAAAGAAGAAAAAGTTTAAGGTCAGCTCATAAACCTGAAAAGAAATCTGTTATTTCAAAGTTCTTAAGTTCATCCACTTTAATAGTCAGTTACATAATGCTCCAAAGACTTTCTTTAAACCTCAAAAATAGTTTCTTTTTAATCTTTTCTCTCTAGACTTCACTTAAATCTTTCCTCCCTAAAAATTACAGGACAGTCAGCACCCCACTGAATGAAGGCAGGCTCACACTCAAACACCAGAAAATTCAGTTGGGTAAACTCAGGCCAGCATTTCCACTGTAAAGTAAAACTTTCTTTTCTATGAAACAGGGATAATATGAAAAGGCTCTCCCAAGTACTAACCAAAGTAGCACATATAGTACAATTAGTATACATTAAAATAATGCTGTTATGTCATATATCTTGAATAATGGTAGTTCTTATAATTACCATGTTGATATCTCTATCCATCTATCTATCTTCTATATGTTTATCTATTTACCTATCTTGTCTTTACTCCCCCTCCTCAGAACAGTGGGCCTCCCCAGGCTTCATTAATTGTGTTCTCTCAAAAAATACACAGCTAGGAAGTCAGATAGTCTAATGCAGAGGCCAAAGGTCAAACTGTTTCAGAAAGAGCTACTTATTTTGTGGAAATTCTCAAACTACTTAGCATACAGATTCTCTGGTCTACAAAGTGACTGCAGAAATTTGTGAACTTAAGCAAGGAAGATTCTTGTTCTAGCATTTGCTCATTGAGTTGAAACAAGTAAGAAATAAATATCTAATCTCCTCCGGAGTCCATGTGTTCTCCAATGTCTCTATCAGTTAAGATATCATCCATCTTGGATGACAAACACCAGTGCTACTCCTCGGTGATCTGGAATTTGTACAGATGTGACAATGGAGCTCTACCTCTTGCAGGCTCTTCACGTTGTCTTCTGAGCAAGATGGAAGCAGGACCAGCATGCTGAGCTTCTCCATGGTATACTTCATTTCCAGGATTTGCGCCTGCAGCTCCTCGATGAAGCCAATGTTAAACTGACCCTTCTGATTCATCATCTTTACAGTCTTCTTCTCATTCTGCAGTGTGTACAGAGGTACACAGAGATTACAAAGGTAATCACAGAAGGCCATAAAAAGCTCAAACACCCGTTACCCCAACATCCCTGAGAAGGAAGGTGCTTTAAGAAGGGAGGGGGCAACAGATGGAATATAAATAAATAAATAAATAAATAAATAAATAAATATGACAAACGCAAAAAAGAAGGGAAAGATCTACACCAGAAGTTCAGAGTCAAGCCAGTGACCCTACCTAAGACATCGCTCTACCTACAAATCAATAACGAGTCCTCTGCTTTGCCAAAACTTTATCCTCCCATGTCCTTTATCAGCTCCTTAATTTTCAAAACTACTTACTATTTTCAATTCAAGGATCTCTCATATCCTCTCATATCAACCAAAGCAAGGCCAGAAAGCACCAACTCTCCCATGTCCAGCACATCCCAACCCCTTGTCTTCATTCACCTTTGTCCCTTCTGCCTGAATGACTCTATATGGCACCAAGAAGAACCTCGGTTAAACAATAATCATCTAGACATTAAAATGACAGCTGCACCACAGGCTTCCTTCAGAAGCAAAGACACTACCCTCAGCACTTCCGCTTGGCAATAACATTGGGATTGGGGAGGTTGTCTACATACAAAAGAGGACATACCATGCTTGTAAGACACACTTGTTAGCACAGCTAACTGGCTAACATGCATTTGTCTGGGATCTGACCTCTGGCCTTTCCTCCAATCTTAAATTATCTCTCTTAGAACATAAAATCTGTGGACAAATATATATATGAATCTTTTCCTGGGGCTAATTAACTTAGCTTGCATCTTTTCCCTCAAACTCCAAGTGGAGGTAATACCACCCCTTGCATCATGCTATTTTGGATAAAAATGAAGTAATGAAATGATAATATTCAGAAGCCATCAGGCTGATCTGCTTTTTTCTGAACTGCCAAGAGCATGCCAGACCACTTTTCCTAGAAAGCATATATTCAGAGTGTTTACAGTTCTGGACAAGGGGATAAAGGACAGACAAGTCTCTGGAGAGATGGCGGGGGTCTTGGAAATTTTAAAGGAAAGTTGAATTGCTTCATATGTTAAATGAGACCAGAAGCAAATTCAAATTGAAGAGGCCCATCTCTTTTCTTACGTGTATACGTTTGTTTTGTTTTGTTTTGTTTTGTTTTGTTTTGTTTTCTAATTTAAAACAAGGTCTGCTATTTCTTATGTAGACTAGGCTGGATTTGAACTTGTTATGTTCCTCCTACATCTGCCTCATAAGTGCTGGGTTTATAGGCATGCACCAATCTACACAAACTTTTAATTGATTAACAAATTGTATGTGTTTAGTATTATGGATGTTCTGAGATATGTGTTGTGTTACAGAATAGCTATATTTAAAAGGTTCAGTGGACTTTAGGTACTGGCTTCTGTAAAACACAAATGGTTTATTATAATTGTAAGCCATAACTCTAGATCTAAGCATTTGGCTTGAATCTCTAAACACTCATCCTGATCACCATTAATAGAATTAGGAGCAGACTACCTAGAAAATGGCAGTTAATACATTAAGTACCTCACTGAGAGAGAAAGATGCATCAACGGTGTTTTCAGAGTTGAATTCTTTTTCCCACTGGGCCTTGAAGTAAACAGCATTCACCAGCACCAGCACAGTTGACTTATCAATAGCCTCCTTGCCAAACAGCTCCTTGATTTTACCTAGAAAAGCATGCCAGAACATGTGTTGCATGAAAAGTGTTCATAGAGACACTAAAAACCCAGAGCACTATGGGAGGCTTGAAGGAAAGTGAGAGTTATAGAGGAGAACTCTCACTGCCCTGAAGGAAGACCCATTCTAGAGCACTGTGAACATAAACATCTCCTCTGTTCACTGGGTCACTTTTGGTTTCAAAAGTCACCAAACATAAAATTTATGTTTCTCGTTATATAGCTAATCACCTGACTTTTATAATATGCTGGATAGAGTAACTACAATATGAACTTCCTATCTCTATGGAAGTTAACCAAAGTTCATTATATGCTCTCACACTTAAACAGATAGGTAGATGATAGACATATAAACACACATACACACACACACATACACACACATAGACACACACACATATGTACAAACACACATGGTTATATAAAGCCTACTTTATAGAGGTTTATATACCCCCTTTCATTTCACCTCAAAAGAAGAATTCATTCAATTTTGTAAATACCCACACATGCATTTGTAGAAGGGAGCACCTTCTAAGCCCCACCTAGACATTAAGCCTCAAGAAGTACCAACATTTGTCCCTTCTTCATGGAGTAATTTGCTGTAAACTATAAAAAGAGATGCCAAAGAGTCAAAAAAGGAACAAGATGAGCGAGTGTTGGTCCTGGACGAGGCACCCTGTGATATGAAAGTAAGAACAACAGAAAGCACCCCTGAAATGTCAGGAGGTGGCCTTGTTGCTGCAGTCCACTACTAGTCCATTCCAAGGCATGTCCACCTTAAATCACGAAGCATTTGAATGCATGTTGAGGTCTTAACCCTTTTACATGGTGGTACAGGATAAGGCTGTAATAGATTCTATAACAAATTATGTCATCACCAACTACACTCAAAATACTCTAGAAAAGCTACCTCATTAAAGATAAAATATATATTAGGTTTCAGACAGGGTTTCTTCACCAAACTACAACCTTCTAGATAGCTGAATGGAATCTTGAAAGTTCAGGAATTCCCAGGTACATAGAAAAGGAAGAGTAGATAATTGAAGGATTTAAAGATTTCCCTTAAGAAAGTACTCTTAGTAAGCTGATCTTAACTCCATAGTAAGAGTACAGGAAACCTAGAAAATGTCCTGAGTGAAGTAACCCAGACCAAAAGGACAGGCATAATATGTACTAACTGATAAGTAGATATTAGCCATAAATTACAGAACACCCGCAATACACCCCACAGACCCAAAGAAGTTAAACAGGAAGAAAGGACCAAGCAAGGATGCTTTAATCACACTTAGAAAGGGAGACAAAATAGTCATAAGAGACAGAGGGAGGCAGGGAACTGGGTAAGAGAGGGGAGGCAGGATCAGGTGTGGGGAGACAGGAGAGACAGGAAAATGAATAGAAATCTGCAGCAACCTGGGGTTGTTATGAGGTCAGGGAGAATCTCTAGGAAGTCCTAGAGACCTAGGATAAGGGAGGCTCCCAGGAGTCAATTTGGGTGACCTTAACTGAGATGCCTAGTGGTGGGGACATGGAACCTGAATAGGCCACTTCTTGTAACCAGGTAGGATCCACAGTGGAGGTATAAGGACTCCAACCCATGCACAAAACTTTCGATCCAAAATTTGTCCTGTCTAAAAGAAGTGCCGGGATGGAGTGGAGACAGAAGGAATGGCCGACCAATAATCAGCCCAACTTGAGACTCATCCCATGAGCAAGCATCAGTCGCTGACATCATTAAAGATACTCCGTGATGCTTGCAGACAGGGGCCTAGCACAACTGTGCTCTCGGAGACTACCCAGCAGCAGACCTAAACAGATGCAGATACCCACAGCCAAACATTGGGTGGAGGTTAGGGATACTTGTGGAAGAGTTAGGGGACGAATTGAAGGCCCTGAAAGAGATAGAAACCCCTAGGAAGACCAACAGAGTCAACTAACCTGGAGCTCTGGGAACATACATGGGCTGGAATGAGGTCCCCAGACATATGTGGCAGATGTGCAGCTCAATCTCCATGGCTGCCTTGTCTGGCCTTAGTGGGAGATAATAAGCCTAATCTGGAAGACACTTTATGTGTCAGGGTCGGGGGATACGCAGGGAGCCCCATCATCTCAGAGGAAAAGTGGAGAGGGATGGGGAGGAACTTTGTGAGGGAGGGGGGAACAGCATTTGGGATATAAATAAATAAATAATCAGTACAGGAAATAAGAAGTATACGTCCAAATACAAGAAAGAAACAGAAAGCACTGCATCAAGTACCAAAAGCAACTGGAAATAAACCAACCCCTGTGGTTGCCTGGCTGTGAGTCACTCAGGTGTACAAGTGCCCTGAGTCAGAGTCTCAAATTTAGAGGCAGGAGATGCAATGTCTCACTTCTCCCTCTGCTTCTCCAAGCGTTCATTGAACAAGAGTAACTCCAGCCCCACACTGACAATCATAAGGTGCCCTCTTCTAACACTTAGGCCTGAGATGAGAAGCTCACTTTTATAAAGTATGCATAAAATAAGAGATCCTAGGAGAAAAAAAAGAAAATCAGAAGCATATGATAAAATGCCCCCACCCTGAAGGCACCCAGTCTTATCTGACCCTGCTCAAAAGGAGCTCTGAGCACGCACCACGTGTGCAAACAGTAGGCCCCAGAAGAAGAGCAAGTTGCAAAGGTAGGGGAGGGGCACTGTTTTTCTTTGACATGGAAAGGCATGCCAGCCTTGCTACTCAGGCCTTTCTTACCTTGGCATTGATTTTCAACCCAGAAGTTAATCTCTTGTCTTGATTTCTCAGTATCCTTTTGGAAATCTACACTTTCGACTGTCGTGTGGTAAAATTCAGTTACGTCATCAGAGTATTCCTGTTCAATTCAAACACATGGGAAAGAGCATGACAAAAATCATATGGAGGTATTGGTCAGTCAGATGAGATGGTGACCAAGAGACCCTGAAAAAGAAACTCCTGGCCGTCTAACATCAGGGGACTGGCCACCCTAATAGTCACAGTCTTTCAGTTTGGGTGATGACAGTTTCATGAAAACCATATTAGTTCCATTGTGAATATAATTATAATTAATTCCACATTCAAACAAAACTTTAAAATGGTTTAGGTGGATATTTTTATTAATCTGTATTTTAGTATAATTTTAAATACATAATATATTACCAAAAACATTGATTTGTATATTCTTTTAATAAATGAATTACATGTATGGATTTAGCTCTTAAAAATCCTAGATATGTAATCTGATATGTAAGATTCAAACCGGGTGAAGAACCTTACTGTGATGTAAAGTAGGGTCTTTGTTCCCCTAGCTCACACCAGCTGTGCCATGTCTTCCTGGCTCACACCAGCTGTGCCACATCTCACTTATTTACAGAACATACTCTGTGCCCACCTTTCCCTGATACTCACCGGGCAGATTGGGAATTCCTGCTCTCCATAGAGTCTGTTGGCCATACTTAGAGTGTAATAAGTTTTGTCTCTGTCTATTCTGGAGAGAAGTTTCCCAAACTGGCAACCAAGCAATTGATGCTCATTTGTAGACTCACTCTAACAAAAGAAGAAACAAATGGGTTCATAATATTTGGGAAGTTAAACACCACTAAAGGTTTAAAGGAGCAATACAGAGCAGGCCATGAAAATGTCATTGTCCTATGTTGCCAGGTTTGGGAAGGCAGAGAAGAATAGAGCACAGCTGAGGACACAGAAAAGGTGTAGGCAGAAAGGAATTGCAGATCATATGCAATTACTGCTGTTTGTGACAGCCTGCACCTACTCTTCAGAGTAAGCATGTATCACTAAGCACAACAGAGGCAGAGTGAGCAATTAGCAAAGAAGTGAGTTTTCAGATACTCACCTGCTGATTCTGAGAAGCTGATGTTTGTTTCTGCCCTTCCAGAGAGCTGTCTTTGCTTTTGCTTTTTGAAGAGGGATCATTGGGTTCTCTGCTTTCATCGTTGGAAAGTTCATTGAAATGTAATACCTGTGTGATAATGACAGAGGGAGGGCCTTTCAGGGAATATGAAGGATGGGAAGTCAACAGCATAGTCAACAATAGTTCACAGAAGTGGGGCTCACTAAATACTGCCCTCGTCCTCTGAATATATTTAAGGGCAGACATGTGCTCAGTTGATAAGGTGCTAGTCAAGTGTGCACAAAGCCCTGAGTTCTATTCCTGTTCACTCCTTTAACCCAGTGGATTAGACGTTCCAGATTATCTTCAGCTTCATAGAAAGTTTGAGGTCAGCCCATGCTGCATGACACCTTTTTCAGACACAAAGCAGAAAGAAAGGATTAAAGGTAGAATAAATATAGCCAAACCAAAGCAAAGAAGAAATTTAAGAGCTATAGGCCATTAACTTCTAGTTAATGGGAGAAACAAGAAAAGAAGCATATTCCTATTGAAGGTTACTAACAATATTGGGATCAATAATTGTAGAGAGAAAGAGTGACAGCCATTTAGACTGTTGTGAAGAGGTAAAGAAACAAAGATGAAGGGGAAAAGCTGTCTGTCGGGCAGGGAGGAGAGGGAGATCCCACAGGAAAGATGAGTAAAAATGTAAATGAAACCTTGGAGCTTTTACAAGCCCCAGTGCTGGGCAGAGTGAGCAACTCCAGGTCACTGAGAATCGGATTAGCTTCCTGTGCAGACCCAGACCGAGCACAGGGCCCTGTGTGGCATCCTTCTCAATACATACCTCATCAATCTGATGTGCACTGTCCCCTCTAGCTCCCAGGCGGACCATACCAAAGGCAGCTGAGAGACTTAGAGGGCAGACAAAGATATTTTTATGAGCATCATCTTTGCTAATCTCTTGGAAGAAATCGAAGCAAAATTTGCTATTTGCTGCAATAAGCGAATCCATTATAAAACTGGTTTCTGTCTAAAAGAAAAAAGAAAAAAAGAGAATGAGGAGAATGAATAAGCAAGCAATTCTTATTTTTAATGCCCAAAATATAACAATATGCAATTATTCAATGTGTTTCATAAAACTTGAAAATTTGACTTTGAGTAGATCTCAGTGGTAGAAAACTTGCCTAGCATAGGCAAGATAAGGAAAGGCAACGGGAGAAGAAGGAAGGAGAGCAGGAAAGGAGGTAGAAATAAAGAGAAAAGAAGAGGAACCAGAAGGAAAGAAAAGGAAAAAGAGGAAAGAGAAAGAGGAAGGAAGAAAAGAGGAAGAAGAGGAGCATGAGGAAAGCAAAGTGGAGGGGAAGAATTGGAAAATTAAAGTCATCAACTTTCCATATAAATAATGAAATTGGTATCTGTATTAATACTGATAGAAGTCTTTTCATTCATAGCCACAGCAGAAAACAATACCACTAGTCAGCTGGCTTGGGAATCAGGAATCTATTATCCCACAGCACTGGAAGCCAGGAAGCCAGAATGGAGGTATCTGCTGAGCTGGTTGCTCCTGAGGCTCTCAGCGAAAGGCTGTCCTCGTCCACTTCTGGTGTCATCCGCCATCTCTGCTACTCAGCTTACAGAGGTGCCATTCTAACCTCTGTTCCATCTTCACATAACATGTATATCTTATACATGTATGTGTACATACATGTGTCCACATTTCTTCTTCCACTGAATCAGGACCCTGAACTAGCATGACCTTATCTTATCTTGATTACATCTGTAAAGACTGTTTCCAAATGAGGTCGAAGTCATGAGAGCAGAGGGCAGAACAAGTCCACTCACTCTTGTCAGAACTTCATTCAGGTAAAATAAGGAAGAGGCTAGCACCAAGCCAGCAGCCAAGAAAAGAAGTCTACCGCTCCATTCCCTTTGAGCTCTGCCCTCTTCTGCTCACTCTTCTTCCCTCCGTGGTCCGTGGCTGAGAAAATGTCCAGCAAATTGTTATGTGTGTGTCCTCTGTTAAAGACCTCTTCATCTTTTGACTAGCCATATGTACAATCTAATTTGACATACTTTAGCTACTCATCAATATTGTTCAAGAGGCAATAGAGCTTGAAAGCCACCAACCATGTAGAGGCTATTGATTTTAATTCCTTTGTGACAGCCAAACAGCACAGGTAAAACAGAGCCAAACTAGGAGAACAACTTCCCTAATGTCAAGTCCTTGATTCACCCTCACACCATGTAGAAATGCAGACTAGTGTTTAGGTCTCACACACACACACAACCCAAATGAAATGGTTTCTTCTTCTCTTCCCTTATGGACCTCACATATTTCTAAGACACAATTATAAACCCTGGTTTGTGTTACCATTGTAAGACACTGAACACAGAGTTAAGCACTGAGACACAGCTAATGCCCTGAAGGGAATGGCGCTTGTGGCTCTAATATCTTCCCAGTTTGATGGAAGCTCACTGTACATATGAAGCACAGCTCAATAAGATCCTAAGCAACTTTTTAAAAAACGTGTCTTCCTCACATGTGTTAAATATTTTACACACACGAGCTTTAATTCTTAAATTCTGCCAAGTGGATGCCATCACTTGACAGAGCAAAGCATTGAGGAAGCAAATCACACATAAAGTTCACATGAACACTGTCATGCTACAGTGTTTTAACTACAACAGTATCACCTCTTCAATGAAAATAGGCTGATTTCACACACACACACACACACACACACACACACACATTCACACACATCATTGTACACACTGAATGTACAATGGTGCAGTCACACCCCCTTTAAATTTGAGTCTATAATTATTCTTAAGGGTTTTTTTTTTTCTGACAAAATTGTAATAGATTTCTTCTTCCTACTCCAGCCCTGACATTGGGTTTGAGTTAAACTTTTTGTTTTAATACTCTATGTGGCTGACGTGGTCAGCCCCATACCCATGTGTATACAGTTAGAGACTGTTACACTAATTGAACTCAGAGAGACGTAGATTTGAAAAAGAAGCGTAGATTTTATTTTCAAGAAGTCCTGGGGGCACAAGGGAAGAACTGGAAGGTAAGGAAGAGGTGGGTACAATCAAAATGCCTTGTGTACAATTCTCGTAAAAGATAGTGATACATGAGCCTAATTTTAGAGGCCATTTGAGGTTTTGTTGTTGTTTTGTTTTTGTTTTGTTTGTTTTCACAAGCAATATTCCCTGAAAAGTAGCATTTCTTCAGATAATGTGTGTTCTGGGTATCTCAATAAAGTCGAATTGCCTCGGAAGCCTGCCCATGCTTTTACTGGGAAATACCTTCGTACTCTTTATAGTCACTTTAAATTCAGCTTCCATTAGCAATTTTGAAGCAAGCGTACTAGTAAAGAAGGGATAACAATGGCCTGAGTTGAAGAAATTTAATCGTAACCTTATAAAAAAAAAAGCGTAATGCCTTTAAAGCCTTGATTTTTGTTGCGGCAGTTGATACAGGTAACATCACAATGTGGATGGAGGAAGCAGTGGCCACTCTGGCTGGCTGTTTGCTACTCACAGAGGGGTCAGAGGACACACAGAATGATCGATCCTGGCTGGCCAATGGTGGTCTCAGCCTGGTGAATGCCCACTCTGCAGTTGCATGTCTGGCCCTCAGGAGGGCTGTTCATCCCCAGCATCAGTGCTCACAGAACTAAAGGAACGAAAGCTTCCCTGCCTTAGGAAGAACATGACCGTTCATGTAGACCAACTCCCTTCTCCTCAGAATGGAAATAGTCTGAGAACAGATGAAGTGCAGTGATTTGCACACTACCATGTGTGGGCCAGGAGAAAAGTCAGGCTAAGACCTCTCCATGCCCAGGCCCTCTCTCTCTTACAACACTGTTGTTTTATTAGCAGTATTTGCACTTGTTCCTAATACTCGTGCTATCTCTTGCTCACACTGTGAGTATCCTGACTGTCTCTCCACCGCCTCTGTAGACAATGTCTAGGGATTTTATGAACTAGTTTTTGTGACTCTCCTGGCTTGGCTGCTCTCGGCTTCCTTTTCTGAGCCTATTAGCATGCCACAGACTGACTTGAATCCCCTACTGCATTCTGGGTGCCTTTAGCACATCATTTTTGTAACATAAGATGACCAGAAAGAAAAAAAAAACAGCAGAGTTAATGTCACAGCACTAACAAGATAACAATGTTTGTTCTGCCTGGCTTTACACAACAGTCTAGAATATAGGAAAAATGAACATGGAATATCTTGATTAAGATGCCATCTGATAACCAACTTATCAAGGTCAGTCGGTTGGTTCTGTGACTGATTGGTTAGTTGGTTGGCTAATTAGGTAGGGATGCAGCTTTTTATACTTGAAAATGATCTAATAAATTTAACATTTAATAAATGTTTATAACCTCCTCAGACTGGGTTAGGTATTGTAAAAGGATGAATTGAAAGACATGCAATGTCTGCCTTTGAGAAATATTGACAGAATATATAAAGTTACCAAACAACCCAGTCTGGTATCTTAAAGTTGAGGAGAATGGTTACATCTGAGTGTGGGTTTGAGGAACAGGGGTCAGTCTCAGTTAGAAACATTAGTGATCCAACAGACTGACTCTCCAAACAGAACCATTAGAGTGTTTGCTAAATTCTATGGTGTAAATGCACCAACTGTGGTGAAGCTTAAACTGCAAAGAGGACATCAGTATTCCCAGATTTGGAAAAGAATGGAATCTGCTCTTATAGAAAGGAAGGATCAGTTCCAGGACACCCTAGGACCCTAGCATAGGCCCTGAGCGTGGAGCCTTCTAGAAGCTGATAGTGCTCCTTATCGAGGTGTTGCTTGTATGGTAAACTTACATCTTTACACATTCATGTGGATTTATATATAAATATTACTTTCATATATCTGTTTAATTTTTAAATGCATTATATATTATTAAACATGACAGCCGGGCAGTGGTGGCACACGCCTTTAATCCCAACACTCGGGAGGCAGAGGCAGGCGGATCTCTGAGTTGGAGGCCAGCCTGGTCTACAGAGTGAGTTCCAGGACAGCCAGGACTACGCAGAGAAACCCTATCTCGAAAAACCTTAAAAAAAAAATGGCAGTTAGTCTAAGACACTGCCAGTTTGTATTTGGTACAAGAATGAAGAATACTGGAAAACTGGAAAACTGAAAAGCAATACCTCACAGTGAAACTCAGGCTGTAGATGCAAGCAGGGTGTGCTCTCCAAGATCAAAAAGAAGTGCTTCCCTTTTACTCTGGAAAACAGTCACTGTACAAACTGAGATTGTGTAAGTCGAAGGGTGATTGACGGCCAGTGAAGGTTGCCTCTTAAGCTGCAACTTGAAAAACTTGAACATGATTTTCCCTAGTCATCACTATTTCCAAACACCCCTGAAATAACCTTTTAAAGTAGTAACGTCCCTGTAAATCCACTCTGCTCAGTCCATTAGAGTTACCCTCACCCAGGATGACTTTAGAATTCTAGCCACAGTATACCTGATGTTTTACAAATACTGTCTCTATTTCTCAAAAAAAAAAAAAAAAAGCTTATAAATTTAGAAATTCACGCTGTCAAAGAAAGTGATCGTTAGTTTGCAAACCGGTCGACTCAGACTGACACCAGACTCATTGTCCCACCTTCTACATGCCCCACCCTCAGCAAACACTAGCACCCTAATGCCACATCCTGGATACCCCATCACTCATCTCTGTTATGACAACCCCTGCTACAGGCACGTGTCCAGTTCCTGTCTCTCACCAAGGCAGCTATTTGCACAAAGAATTTCCAGCCTAGAGAGTCCTTCTTAGGATTTCTTGAATCTCCTCCCTGCTAAAGTGTGTCTTAGACTCCAGTGTGTCCTCCTACACCTCCCATAACCATTGCTCATAGTACTGGCCTTGTAAGACTTTTCATATTGCTTACAGACAGAAATTGAGATAACAAGGCTGTAAATAAGTTTAATTGAGATTGTCTTGCATAGTTCATACCCACTAACCCCAAGATCACCTCTTCCTGATCATGATACAGAGATGAGGCAACAGGTAACTTTTGTTCAGAAAATAAAATAAAAACCCACCTATGTAAAAAAAAAAAAAGCTATCATATTTTGCCAATATTTCCAACTAACTGATATACTATTTAGTCTCTAACAAGGTATATAAGGAATGTGATAACACAAAAGAGATTTGATTCTCAAATTGTTACTTACTATACAGATGGGAGGATAGTGACAGTGAAAGGTTTCTCCTCATGGTATCCATACCTTTATTGTCTTTGTTTATGTGCTTGGAAGTCTTGAAATTTCAGCATGCACTTCATATTATATATATATTATGTGTGTGCATGTGTCCACATGTGTGCATTGTATATGTGTGTACATGCATATGTATGGACATAGGCCTGTGAATGGATGTGCAAATGTATGCATGCATGTATGTATGCTCATTCATGTATGTGTGCATGTCTATGTGTGCTTGTGTACCCCTATGTACATGCATCGTCTTCACAACCCCTCACTTCAGACTGTGTCTTACATGTATGTCTGCACTGTAACTGTGTTCATATTTGTCCTTTTACTCTCTGTACAATTCAATGAATATGTGTAATTTATAAACTGATGGCTTAATCCTGGTCATTTTTGTTAGTTTTCCATCTTTCACTATTATAAATCGAACATCTTCGTAAATACAGTTGTTTCCTCTTTCATCTTATTTCCTGATGATACTTCTTCAGCATGAGATTTCTAGGCCAAATAATGTAAGAGTTTTTATCTTTCACACTAACATCTCAGGGATTCAGATAAAGACACACGAATCATAATCTATATTCAGATAATATCACTGTTTGTCTTTCTTTATTACTTAAAATATAAAATGGGGTTAATAAGATGGCACAGCTGGTCAAGGTCCTTGCTGCCAAGCCTGAGGACCCGAGTTTGAGCCTTAGGACCCTAATAGTGCAAGAGATGTGATTTCTGTAAGTTGTCCTCTGAGCCTCACTCCCACATCACAGCATGGCCATGGGTGCGCACACACACACACACATTAATAGTCTTTAAAAGTAAATATACAAAACAATAGTACTACATTTGACTGATATTCCAGTGATACTTGCTAATGTGGGAACATTTAGTCTATGTTTTCTTCTATTTAGCTATTGTCTGTTAATGTCTGCTCATGTTCACCTGTCACTCTTCTACTAAAGGCATGAAATGTACGGGTTGACTATATAACACGTGTGTGTGTGTGTGTGTGTGTGTGTGTGTGTGTGTGTGTGTTATACATGTATATACATAATATGTATCACAAAAGCTGAAATTGATTCCTAAAGTTTACTTCCCGTTATTGCTATTGTAGAAGTATTTTTACTCTGAATTATTTAAAATTCTCAATTATTTTGGTGCTACTTTGTCATTTCAAACCTGAAATTATCATATTGTAAGTAAATTTTAAAACACATCAATTTCCAATTTTTATAAGTAAATGAATCTTCCTTGTGCAATTTTGTCTGTCTCTTGTGTACTTTGAATTCTTAATGTTTTTCTTTTGTTAAGAAAAAGACCCTTTTTAAACTTCCTGTTGTTTGACTTAGTGGGAGGGGTCTGATGATCTTCTGTTTTATTGTTTTACTTTTCCGTGGTGCTAGAGACAGAACCAAGATTTACCCATGTGCTCTACGATCTGGCTGCATTCACAGCCTTCTTAGATGGTTTAAGACATCAATACATGATCTGTCACACATAGGTTCTGTCTTTCTGGCTTCTCTATTCATGCAACACCTCTTAAGCTTGCCGCCACCCTCTTCTCCTGAAAGGTCAATTAGTCCCCATTGTACATGACGACCACTGCATTTATGTCTCTTTGCTTGTCCTTATTACTCATAAGTACTTGGTTTTTGGTATCTAGTATTCACTTCACTTCTAAATATGGTGTCCTTGAGGATGAACCCAGAGTTTTTATCCATCTCTGTACTCTGTCAGTAGAGAACAGAATGCCAGTACACTGAAGCATTTGGCAAGTGTGTGTGGACTCCTTTCCCTTGTTTCTGTGGAAGACAGCTCTAACACCTGAAATCTTAGGCAGCATTATTGAAACATGCTGACATCTGCTGCAGTTTTAATGGCTGGAAGTGTTGCATAGTAGAATCAGCCCTAGATTAATATTTTACTAGATTAGAAACAGTTCGTGTTTGTTTCCCTTTATGGGAAAAAGGTTAAATTTGAACTGGATAGAGGTTCTAACAACTCAGAGGATTTTGAATAAAATTACTCTCTCCTGGTTGCCAAAATGACTCACAGGGTAAAGGTAGCTGCCACCAAGCCTCATCACCTGATTCTGATCCCTAAGTACAAGGAAAGAACCAGGTTCCACAAGTCACCCTCTAGCCTCCACACATGTGCCATGGTGCGCGCGCGCGCGCACACACACACACACACACACACACACAAATAAACAAACATATTTTCATTTAAAAAATATTATTTCCTATATATGATAGGAAAAAATTAATACTCCAAAAATCTCTCAGATTTTATAATTTCTATAATTTTGTCATCTAACAACCCAAGAATGAAACTCCAACTTTATATAGTTAGATGTTATTCTGCTGGAATCAATGGTGAAACCAGGAAATAACAAGCTACAGTAAATAATACCTAAAAATAAAGAAGTAGTTGTGAAAGACGTTAATCAAAACTGATTCCCAAGATATGACACAAAAAAATGCATTTAAATTCACATTGTTTAAAATGTAGACATTGTATATTGTACCATTTTATATTTCAGAAATAATGGATTAAAAGATGAAATATAATCTCAATGTGAAGATGAAAATATTCAATCAGCTTCATCTTTTAAAGACTCAACCAGACATATCAATTCTCTGACTGGGCAATTGGGGTCTGAGGAATAGAATGTTATTTTTATATTCTAATAGTATTGCCATAGCTATAGAAAAATCCAAACCATCATAAAACAAAATACTCTTTCTAAGGGCATCTGACTTAATAGATGTAAGATATAGGATCATTTCAATTACATGCTTTGGGTTTCTAGCATTTAAAATAAACTTCCAGTGTAGTCCTGGTTGTTCAAAATGATATAAGCATGCAAGCATTTACCTTCTTGCCTTCAGATTTGCTTCTGAGCCCTGGCCAGGGAAGTTTCAATCCACACCCTATCAGGAATGGAAATATATCAACATGACCCCTCCCATGCTGGCACTTTTCCAGGTGCCATGTTGAAATCTAGAGTAGAGTTGTCATAGATTGATTGAGGAGAAATGAAAATGTGACAGGTGTTTCTTAAAACAAGCGCACATGCCCTATGCTTTCAATTAAATTACATATTTAACACAATACATTTACAGTTTCTTTGCTATTTACAGTTGTGTCTTTTCATGAATCCCTAAAGTAATATCTGTCCAGCACTCTGTTCCAACATCAACAGTAAAGGAAAGCAAGGGTCTCATTTATATCCCATATTCATTATCCTAGATGTCTTACAACTGGTTTTCAATTATTATAAGCTTCTACAGCTCAAAACATGGGGGTTGCAAGGTGTGCTATTTCTAAAGTAGAGGTATAGTTCTTGCAGTGCTGCAAAGGTGGGCATGGGGACTATGACTACTGGCTAGAATAACTGAATACCTATAGCATGATTGAGGTTATCAAAGAATCTGGTAGAGAGCCTATGAGGCATCAAGACAGAGAAAAGAAGCTTCTGGAAAGAAGCTAGTTGTTAGAAAGCAGAGACACATACTAGACATACATCGATATCACTAAAAGGCTCGCTGCCTACAGTGGCTTTATCAGCTCTGACCTGCTTGCTTATTTATGATATGTTTACTTAAGGAATCTCAGGGGCTCAGATACCTTCACTTTTCTCTTATAACACTTCTGTAAAAGCTTTCATTAAAAGATATTGAACAAATGGGGGGAAGGGGTTTAAAACTGAACCAAAACAAATTCTGATGTTACTTCTAGCTCCACATTCCAGGATCCTAATATGCTCTAGCCTGTGAACTGGAAGTCTAGAAAAGGCTATAACAAGAAAGACGGAAGTCATCTAGAAAAGGCTATAACAAGAAAGACGGAGCTGTGGAGTGTCCCTGGGAACCAATAGGATGTAGCAATACATGAGTGTCCTTCTCCTGTTCAGCATTTTCAATCTCTCTCTCTCTCTCTCTCTCTCTCTCTCTCTCTCTCTCTCTCTCT